CGTCACCATTTCGCTTGATTTTGAAGACCTATTTGTTACCAATTGGCTTCCTTCCTTGTGGTAGTGGCACAAGGTCCCATGTATTATTTTTATGAAGGGCTTCGATTTCTTCTTGCATCGCCATCATCCACAGTGAAGCATCTGAGCTATTTATTGCCTCCTGGTTGTTGATGGCTCACCGTCCTCTGTTAAAAGGCAGTATGTAACATTTCCTTCTATAACATAATCTGAGTGCCAATTGGGACGTCTTCTCACTCGATCTGATTGACGAGTTGTTGGAGCTTCATAACTCTCTGGTTCTTGTTCATCATGTGCTGATTCTGCTTCAGAAGGATCTCCTTGTTCAACCTCTTTTTCCACATGTACTTGTGTAGTCTCTGACTTTTCAGCGCTATCATCATCTTCTTTTCTTTGTAGCTTATCTTCTACAAAGATAACATCCCTACTGATGACTACTTTGTGGGCAGTGGAATCCCACAAGCGATACCCCTTGACTCCATCAACATACCCCAAGAATTTGTATTTCCTGATTTTGGATCCAGCTTTTAGATTTCTTGGGAGTTATACATCACGTACACAATACTTCCAAATATATGGAGGTTTGAATAATCAGCTGGTTTACCAGTCCACATCTCCATTGGTGTCTTCAGCTCTATTGCAGTTGATGGAACTCGATTACCAAATAACAGGTGGTATTAACTGCTTCTTCCCAGAATGATTTTTCTAGGCCTGCATCCTTTAACATTGCTCTTGTTATTTCTAACAATGTTCTGTTCATCTGCTCTGCCACTCCATTTTGTTGAGGATGTTCGCCGCTGTGAACTATTTTTTGATGCCTTCTTTCCTGCAAAAGTCATCAAATTCTTCGCTTGTGTATTCTCCTCCATTATCTATTCTGAAACACTTGATCTTATTTCCAGAATCAAGTTCCACTCGCGCCTTGAAGTTTTTGAAAGTTGAATATACGTCTGACTTCTTCTTGATAGGATGCACCCAACATCTCCTGGAGTAGTTATCAATAAATGAGACAAAGTATTTTGCTCCACATAGGATGTAACTGGTGCTTGCCATACGTCAGAGTGAACCAATTCTAGAACACTTTTGCCTCTAAAATTTGATTTGTTGAATTTCAACCGGTGTGCTTACTTGTTATGCAATGCTCACACAAGGTAAGTGATACCTTTGTTAAGCCTGGAAGTAGCTTTTGCTCTACAAGGACTTTCATTCATTGTTCTGACATGTGTCCAAGTTTCTGATGCCATAGCATTGTCGAATCTGAACTACATGAGGCAACAGAGGCTTCTGCTTCTACCAAAGTCTCTCCCTTCAACATGTACAAGTTTGCAATTATCTTTTCACCTTTCAACACCACAAGCGCTCCACGGAACACCTTCATGATTCCTTTCCGTGTTTCAATTAGCTTGCATTATTATCCAACAATCCGTAGGATAATAAATTTTTCTTCAGGCTTTTCACGTGTCGCACATCTTGAACAACTTTAATTGTTCCATCATACATATTTAGTTTGATGGTTCCCACGCCAATGATCTCTAAGGCATGATCATTGCAACTATACACAGATCCTCCTGAGACAGGTTCATAATGATGGAACCATTCTCTTCTTAAGGTCATGTGATATGTTGCTCCCGAATCAATGATCCATATATCTGCAAATCTTTTTCTGCCTTCCACGGTGGTTGACGCTTCACAACATAGAGCATCTCCATCATCTGAAGTGTTTGCAGTATTGCCTTGTGGGTTGGAGTTTTTATTTAGACTCCAACAATCCTTCTTCAAATGACCATTCTTTCCACAATTGTAACACTTTAAATTCTTCTTGCTCCTCGACTTCGATCTACCATATTTGTGATTGCTACTTTGGCCACGTTCTGTTGATCTCCTCTCATCGTTGTCAATGCTTCTGCTTGTTGCAGATTTACTTGCATGTCTTCCTTGTTCTTGCACCGATTTTCTTCTTGTAGAACAGCAGCTGCAACGTCATCGAAGACTAGACTGGTGACATTACTATTTGTCAAGTTGATGATGAGTTGATCATACGAATCCGGTAGACTTTGAAGTAGAAGTTCAGCAAATTCTTGATCTCCTATTTTACAGCTTAAGGATGTAAGCTGAGAAAATAAAGTGTTCATTGTATTTAAGTGCTTGTCACTGAAGTAGATTCTGGCATGCGGAGAGTGTACAATTTTCTCTTAAGGAAAATTTTATTGTGCAGCAATGTGGCCTCGTACAGTTTGTTGAGATGATCCCATATCTCCTTAGTTGTCTTTTTCTACTCGATGCTTGACAATACTTCATCTGCTAAGGCTAGATGAAAGTTTGTCATAGCATTCCCGTCCATTTCGATCCATTTGTTGTCATCTGTGAAATCCACCGGCCTTTCACTGATAGCTGCTAGACAACCGTCTTTCCTCAGGATGGCCTTCATCTTCAATTTCCATAATGAGAAATTTCTCCCATTAAATTTTTCAATATCAAATTTCGTTGCCATAGCTTCTTTTACGGATAGCTCTCACTATTTCACTATCGTGAATAGTTTTCTGGAACCTTCAAAGAATGGGTAATACCTTCTTACTTTCTTATGTTGGAGGATCCACCTTTTGGTGGCAACCACAAAGACAATAAACAGATATTACACACTCAAATCTGGCTCGGATACCAATTGTTGTGGAAGACGACTATCGGATAGAGCAAAATCGCAACTGAAAATTTGAGAAAATAAAAATGAAGATAAAAGAGACAAAATTTATGTGGAAAACCCCTAAATAATATAGGGTAAAAACCGCGGGCAACGGTAGAAGAATTTTACTATGAGAAAATAGGAATTACAACTTCCCTCGATCTACCAAGGAGAAAACAATGATAATTCTCTCTTAATAAAAAGGAGAAAACAACTCTCAAGAAACTCTCTAAATTCTCTCTAGTATTGGAAGAAAGCTAGAATGCTTTGGGATGATTTTGAAGCTAAATGAGCTAGGATATTTATAGTTGAAGCTTTAAGGACTAATTTGTAAATACCCTAAATTTTAATAGTTAAAATTGAGCTTTTATCATTGTCAAAAAATCAACAAAATCAAGCTTGAATTTTCGGTGCCTACAATTTTTGAAAAATTTAATAATTTTTTTTTTAAACTTTCAATCATGCACCGAAAGTGCATTGATTTTCAACAGAAACAACCTTCAGCTCTCCTTGGTTAATTTTCCACTTTTGCTTATCAACTTCATGCTTTGCTTGAATCCCTCTTCTCCACGGAGCTAATTTTTCGATCGCATATCTCCAACACCATTTTGCTAACAAAGCTTTGTTTTTGACTTTCAAATTGACCACATCGGCTCCCCCTTTTGACTTCGATAAACAGACCCTATTCCAATTCACCTTTTCTAATTTTCCCCCCTTCCTCGGGTCCTCGTAAGAAATTCCTTCTTAGTTTTTCAATTTGTAGAATTACTGTTTTCGGGACCTCGAATAACGACATAAAATAACCCGAAAGTGCTGACAAAATAGAATTTATTAGAGCCACCCTCGCCGCGGATGATAGATTTCTTTTCCACGTTGAAAGCTTTACTCGTACTTTACCTACCACCTCTCCCCACATTGCAATCTGACGGGGATCAGCCCCAAGAGGAATTCCGAGATACTTACACCGAAACTTCCCAACTTTACACCCACATAAAGAAGCTAGGTGCTGCAAATTTTCCGCCTCAACTCTACACCCAATTATCATCGACTTTCTAAACTTTATGCTAAGACCAAGAATAGCTCAAAACATCTCAACGTATCCTTCACATTCACTAAGAAATCTTCTCGGGCTTTCAAAAAAAATTATTGTGTCATCTGCAAATTGGATACGAGTAAAAGACTTATCTGCAAATTGGCAGATGCTGTTCAGTAGACAATTATTGGAGAGGGAGACAGAGAAATTAGAGTAGTTGATAGGAGTCATGGGTGACACGGATTTGAAAGAAGCAATTGAGGATCAAATAGTGTGGATTCATGACAAAGCGGGGGAGTTTTCAGTAAAGAAATTAACCAACTTGCTTGAAAATTTTTCGGCGGAAATTCCAGCTTTTAATTTTGACTTCATTTGGAAAATGAAGGTTCCGCCTCGAGTTCGAAGTTTTTTATGGCTGCTGATATTGAATAGAATCCCGACGAAATAATTCTTAATGGCCAGGGGTATTGAAATGGATCAGACATTGTACGCTTGTCCTTGGTGTGGAGGTGGCACGGAGAACGCGGATCATCTGTTCGTGGCGTGCAGTGGAGCAATGGCAGTATGGTCAAAAGTTTTTCTTTGGTGGAGGACGGCTTGGACGAATGTGGTTTCAGCTAGAGGTTTGCTGGAAGAGTGTTTGAGAAATAATTTGCAAGGGGCCCTGAAAAGTGTATGGTTCATTGTTGTTGCAGCGACTTTGTGGACGATGTGGCTGTCGAGAAAAGAGATAATTTTTAATTCGAAATTATTATCGACAGAGGTCGTGTTTCAACTGATTAAGCCCCGCTCCTTATGTTGGTTTAAGGCGTCTTTTGAAGGTGAAGAAGAGTAGGAGAAAATATGGCGGCAGAATCCAAATCTTTATAATCCAATAAAGAAAGTAACAGAAAAATTGAAGCTAGAATGGTCACCACCAAAGGAAGGTTGGCTTAAATTCAATGTTGAAGGGGTGGCCGGGTTGGGGGAGGGGTGTTGAGGGATCATAAGGGAGAGATTGTAGCTTTATTTTCAGGTCCGGTGGAGGCATCTTGTTCTGATCATGCTGAATTAATTGCTTTGAAAGTGGCACTGGATTTGCTATTGGGATCTGAAAAATGCCTTAGCTATGAAGTGGAGGTGAATTCAGATGCTGAAGGAGTTTTAGCATGAGTGATAAATACTTCGTTGAGGCCATGGATATTTTGGAGGTTCTTCAGAGAATTCGATTTAGTAGTAGAACAATTGGGAAAGATTCGATTTAATTATACACCTAGACAACGTAATACTATGGCGGATTCTTTGGCAAAGGTCGGAATGAAGAAAGAATCAATGCTCAAAGCATGGCGATGAGCTCAAGAGTAGTAATTAATAAAGGTGGTTAATGTCGATGGTGTTTTTGTGATGTTGTTAGATGCTTTGTCGATATGTTTTTCTGATGCAAATTATCTTATTGCTTGATAGCGATGTTGTGGGCAATGTTGTGCTGCTATTTTGGTTTATTGGTCTAGTTGCAGGTTTATTGAGATCCTTGGGGAATGTGTTTCGTTGGACTAAGGTGGACTTTCTTGTCTTGTTGGCAGCTCTTCAGTTGAACAAATCCAGGATTGTCGTTTTCTTTTTCGGTGTTGAAGAGTTATGTAGGTGGATATGGTGCCTGGGTATTTTTCTACTCATTTAGTTGTGAAAGGCTTGTAGAGTGAGAATTGTAGGTGGATGTGTTTATCGTTAGGTATTAAGATATTGTTGCCCAATACAATTATCGGATAGAGCAAAATCACAACTGATAATTTGAGAAAATAAAAATGAAAATAAAGAAGACACAAATTTTACGTAGAAAACCTCTAAATAATATAGGGTAAAAACCATAGGCAAAGATAGAAGAATTTCACTATCAGAAAATAGGGATTACAACTTCTATCGATCTAACAATGAGAAAACAATAATAATTCTCTCTTGATAAAAAGAAGAAAGCAACTCTTAAGAAAATTCTCTAATTTCTCTAATATTGGGAGAAAGCTGGAATGATTTGGGATGGTTTTGAAGCGAAAATAACTATGATATTTATAGTTGAAGCTTAGGGACTAATATTGTAAATAGCCTAAAGTTTAGGTACTAATTGGGTAATTTTTCCCTTGCCAATTTTCAACCAAAATCTGTCGTAAATCTTGAATTTTACCACTGCACCAATGCACCGAAAAAATTCTTTGACTTTTAACAATCTCCCACTTGAAGATTTGATTAGAACAATCATATATTCACATCATTCTTCTATCTTGTACCATTCATGTTGGTTATGTCTCCAATAGGCCACAAGAGAATTGACACCACGTAAATTTATCAGCATTTATAGCCTTTGTCATGAAATCTGCTATGTTGTCTTTGGTATGGATTTTCTGCATATCTACCGTCCCTTCTTCCACCTTTTCATGAACGAAATGGTACTGAACTCGTATGTGTTTTGTCCTTGAATGAAATGTTTGATTCCTTGCTAGATGCAAGACGCTTTGATTGTCACAAAACAGAGAAACATACTCTTGATTGTGCCCGAGCTCCTCAATAGCATCTTTAACCAGATTGCTTCTTTACTGGCTTGTGTAGCTGCTACATCTGCCTCTTCTATTGACGACGTAGCCACAACTGACTACAATTTTGAAAATCAGCTTACAGCTCCACCAACAAGTTTGAACACATATCCTATAGTAGATTTGCTTTTATCCAAATCTCATGCATCATCAGAATCGACATACTCATTAATAAGTAAGTTTGATCCTCCGTAACATAGTGCAACATTTGAGGCCCCTTTGATGTATCTAAAGATCCTATTTACTGTATTCTAATGCTCTTTGCCTGGATTCGCCATGTACCGACTAACCACTACCACTGCTTGTGCAATGTCTGGTCCTCTGATTTTCTTCTTGTAGAACAACAACTGCAATGTCATCGAAGACTAAACTAGTGACATTACTGTTTGTCAAGTTGATGATGAGTTGATCATACGAATCAGGTAGACTTTGAAGTAGAAGTTCAATACGTTCTTGTTCTCCTATTGTACAGCTTTAGGATGTAAGATAAGAAAATAAAGTGTTCAGCGTGTTTAAAGTTTGTTTAAGTGCTCCATCACTGAAGTAGATTCTGGAATCCGGAGAGTATATAATTTTCTCTTAGGGAAAATTTTATTGTGCAACAACTTGGCCTCGTACAGTTTGGTAAGATGATCCCATATCTCTTTGGTTGTCTTCTTCTCCTCAATGTTTGCCAATACTTTATCTGTTAATGCTAGATGTAGGTTTACCATAGAATTCTCGCCCATGTCGTTCCATTTGTTGTCATCTGTGAAATCTACCGGCCTTTCACTGATAGCCGCTAGACAACCGTCTTTCTTCAGAATGACATTTATCTTCAATTTTCACAATGAGAAATTTCTCCCATTGAACTTTTTAATATCAAATTTTGTTGCCATAGCTTCTATTACAGATAGCTCTCACTATTTCACTATCGTGAATAGTTCTATAGAACCTTCAAAGAATGAGTAATACCTTCTTACTTTCTTATGTTAGAGAATCCACCTTTTGGTGGTAACCACAAAGATAATAAGTATATATTATACACTCAGATTTGGCTCTGATACTAATTGTTGAGCAAGACGGCTATCGGATAGAGCAAAATCGCAACTAATAATTTGAGAAAATAAAAATGAAGATAAAGAAGACACAAATATTACGTGAAAACCCCTATATAATATAGGGTAAAAACCACAGGTAAAGGTAGAAGAATTTCACTATCGGAAAATAGGAATTACAACTTCTCTCGATCTAACAAGGAGAAAACAATAACAATCATCTTTTGATAAAAAGGATAAAACAACTCTTAAGAAAACTCTCTTATTTCTCTAGTATTGGGAGAAAGCTAGAATGATTTGGGATGGTTTTGAAGCCAAAATGGCTAGGGTATTTATAGTTAAAGCTTAAAGACTAATATTGTAAATAGCCTAAAGTTTAGGGACTAATTGGGTAATTTTTCCCTTGCCAATTTTCAACCAAAAGCTGTCGTAAATCTTGAATTTTACCACTAGACCATTCGGTTCATTAATGCATCGAAAAATTCTTTTACTTTTAACATATATTTGGAGATATACATAATCACACCGGTATATGTATGCATTAAATGCTACACTTTTTATTTTATTAACTTATATCAATGTAAGTATGTGTTAAGTTATATACCTTTTTGTAGTATGAATTATGAAAAAAAAATTGATAAATAATTGTAATAGGTTAACCTACGGTTAACCTGTAATCGAACTTTTAATAACAGTTAACCGAACTATTAATAACGGTTAACCGTTAGAAGTTAACAACCGTTTAGACTAAACAATACAGTTAACCAACCATTTAGACTAAACGGTACGGTTAACCGTCCATGAACAACCCTACCAAATACAATAACTAAACTAATAAAGATTTTGAATTATCAATACTGAAATATCAACGCTGATTTTAGGGTATGACATAGTTCACTACAGCAAAATTGCTACAGCGGCGTTTTAACGACGTTTTGAGAGTAAACGCTACTAACTTTAAACATATAACGGCCTTTACATAACGGCCTTTACATTCCAAATGCCATAAAATGGTAACTTTAGCGGTGTTTTTATAGATATGTCGTAATAGGGTTCATCTATAGTGGCATTTTTTCAACAAACACTGCAATAGAGTAATACTTTAGCGGCGTTTTTATACAAATGTCGTAATAGGGTTCATTTATAGTGGCATTTTTTCTACAAACATCGCAATAGAGTAGTACTTTAGTGGCTATTTTTATGCAAAAGTCGTAATAGGGTTCATTTATATTGGCATTTTTTCAAAAAACATCGCAGCAGAGTCGTACTTTAGGGGCATTTTTTTACAAACGCTGCAATAGTTTGGTATGTTTGTGGCGTTTGGTTTTAAAAACGCCGCAAATTTGAAGTATAACCTTATTTGATTTATATTTCACGTAAAAAGTTTAAAAACCCTAAAAAATCAAAACCCTTTTTGTTTAAGCTCTCCCCTCCTCCTTCTCTACACGGTCGCCTCTTCCTTAGAGACCAAAATCCCACGCGGCCGTGAAACCCCCGAAGGCTCCAGGCCACTCAAAACACCGTTCATCGATGTAGCTCTCTCTCTACGACTGACAACTGGTGGCCACTGAGAAGACTCCTAAAGCCTAAACCGAATAAAACCCTAGATTTCCCTCGTCTAATCTCCAAAAAAAAGGATCTTGATTCTAAACCAAAACCTAAGAAATCTATAAACCCACTCACTCCTTGCTCCAACAACTGACGACCCTCAGTCTACCCCCTCTCGATGATGAGCGACGAAAGATGACGATTTCTAGGCTTCGGTGAGAGGTTCAAGAGAACGTGGTAACAGTCCCCTCTCCCTTCCTATTTCGTTGGCCCCCAAAGAAATAAAATGACCCCTCATTTTTTACATTTCTCATTTTCATTTTGCCTTGACCGCATAATTTTTTATTTATTTTATTGATTTATTTTCAATCTGTTTGATTAGCTTTGAACATTGTTACCGAGATGAGGATGAAGTGGTTATCGACTTAAATATGGTTGTTGAGGGCTGATGGCACTTGAACACCAGTGTAGAAACTAGAAATGTTTTCCTATAAATCTTAAAGAACACAAACTTAAGAAATGATAATTATCTGGTGACTTGTGCCATACATCTTTTCTGCCAAGAATTTGACGTTTGCCTTCAAAATTGTAAAGACCTTGTATACAATGCACTCAGGGAATAGCATGCTCCATTGCATGTAATACATATCTCAAGGAGGATTTTCATCTATAAAACAGTATGTAGCATATATTCCACACAATGCTAGCTCATTAGTAATACTTATAGATATAGTAATACTTATAGATAGATGTTGTTACCTCTGTTTTCTCTCTCTCTCTCTCTCTCTAAATGCTTGCTCAGTTGTATGCCTTGTTATGTCTTCTTGTATGTAATCTTCTCTTCTTAATTACGAAGACTCTAGTTCTTCATCCGATCGAGAATGAAACCTTGCAGCTACTCTCACCCCTGCATCGGACAAATCCTTGTATTTCCCCATTCCAAGCTTTGTTTGTAATGCTAGCAACTCTCTTTCTTTCTTTATCAATATAAAACTAATCAAATGAGAGAGGACGAAAGATGAAAAAGAAAGAAATTATGGTGCTGGATTGGTCCAAACAGAGAATGAGGAACTTATAGTTGCTGAGAAAATATTGAAAGGAGATTTGCCTTTATAGTCTTTTAATGCCATTCTAACTTTTTTTTTTATTTTGCTGTTCATATTCTATTTATGACTCTTGTTTGGCATTTGCATTGTTGTATTACGTTAATTGTAGTTAGTTAAAAACAACAAAATAATAATTTTATTATTGTTTAGTTATTTTAATTTCTATACTTTTTTGTTACAGTCCCCTCTACCTTCCTATTTCGTTGGCCCCCAAAGAAACAAAATGTTCTTTTGATTTTAGTGGTTGGTTTTAGAGCCAATCAAATTCCATGTTTGATCTTTGAACTGGTGTTTGTTGCATGTATCAGTTGTTAATATGTGTTTTGTTCTTAAAGGTGGTAAGGAAGCCAGGCGGTTGAATGCAATCTTGCACAAGGTTCTAGGTTCTTGCAAATACTTATTCTGGAGCATATGCCTTACTGCTTTTGTTTCCCTTCACTATTTTTCTCCTTTAAATAATTTCTTTATCTATATTTGTAGATCATTACGTCGGTCTTACGAAGGAGCATTGGAGACAAACTTATAGGACTTGTTGCTTCAAGAGAGAATATTCCTGATTTGCTTAAGGTGAGTTGCAGGATTTTGAGTTACTTACATCTCTTTGGTATGAGAGAGTTTTTAAGTTTTTCTATTTTGCCACATCTGATTCTGATGATGATGATGGCCTTTTCAGTAAAGTCCCCTCAGTGTTTTCCTTGAAATTCATGGAAGAAGAAAAAAAAGACAGTTTTATGATTCTGTTCAAGGCTGCTAAGTTCTGCCATTGGACTTTTGTGGCATTAATTGCTGTAGGTGTTACCCTTTATGGTGGGCCAAGGCTTTTCAGTAAAGTCCCCTCAGTGTTTTCCTTGAAATTCATGGAAGAAGAAAAAAAAAGACAGTTTTATGATTCTGTTCAAGGCTGCTAAGTTCTGCCATTGGACTTTTGTGGCATTAATTGCTGTAGGTGTTACCCTTTATGGTGGGCCAAGAGCGAGTTCCTTGTTAAAACTTCTCGAGGCTCAATTATTAAATCATGAGTACAGTTCACTGGCTTGCACAGTTAAAATTGTGGATGATGTGAAGGTTGCTATTGGCCACATACACCTGAAAGGTGTAAACACTAATTTTTCATTTATTATTATTAAAATTATTATTATTATTATAAATATTATTATTATATTATATATATTATATTATTATTAAATAATTATTATAAGTCCAGATCCCGGTAGCCCAAATATAAATCCCAGGCCCAATCAGAACCGGCCCAGACTAGATGGAAACCTTAAACATTTGGGGTTTCAGTTAGGGTTTTCAAACCTAGCCCCCAGCCGCCTCCAAGATTCCAGAACATCCACGAGGCGTCACCTCCACATCCAGCCGTCGTTGTTGACGTTTCCACTGCCAACTGCCTCACGACGACGACACCTTGCTGCCACGACGCCAACAGAGGATTCCAGAAGGCCAGCTGCCCACCACACGTCGCGGCTATGGGGTGAGTCACCACATAGCTCGGTGACTCACCGAACTTCCCCCTCTGGACCGGTTCGAGCATGGCTCCGTGGTGGCTATAAAAGCCACCGGATCCTGCAAAACGAGAAAAGACAAAAAACAGAAACGAAGAACCCGAGAGCAAGGGGACAACAACACCAACAACGAGCAAGCAAGAACCGAGGGTAACACTAACAACCCACGACATCAAAACAAAAGAAAAGAGAAAAGGAACGGGGGGAGAAACTTACCACCAAGGAGAGCTTTCAAACCATCGTCGGAGACGAGATCCTAACCATGGTAAAAGATTCGGTTTTTCTTAGATCTAAGGCGATTTAAGAGCTTTTAGGGAGAGTAAGGGTTGGATTCAACACTAGGTTTTAAAAAGGAAGCATTTGGTGTAATTTTTCAAACTCCGGCCACCGTGAACGGTGGCCGTCGGTGGCAGTCGGCGTCAGATCGTGGCTGTCGGCCAGCGATTGGTTTCCCTCAGATGAAGGAAACTCTTTTAGTCACTGAAATTGACTTTTATGCCTTTTAATTTGTTATTTAAATTTTGTGTTTATTATAATTTAGTCACTACAATAAACTTTCATATATTTTAATTTAGTCTCGTAATTTCTTTTAGTCACTGAAATTGACTTTTATGCCTTTTAATTTGTTATTTAAATTTTGTGTTTATTATAATTTAGTCACTACAATAAACTTTCATATATTTTAATTTAGTCTCGTAATTTTATTTTATATCATTTTAGTCCTTTCCAGTATAATTACATACTTTAGGGTAAATAACCGATTTAATCCCTTATTATTTAATTAATATTTATTTTAATCTTGTATAATTATATGTTAAATTACATTGTTAATATTTATGTTTTATAATATTTCGAATTGGAGCTCTTAATTTTAATAATTGATATTTAATCATTGATTAATAATTTATAGGTTAAATTATTATTATTAATTATATTTCAGTTATGTTCATTAATTTAGATAAATTATATTTAATACTATAGGTTTTTTTTTCATTTATTTATTTATTTGCAATATTATTTTATTATTACTTTTAATATATGTAAATTATTACTTTCATTATTATATTATTTATAAATATATATATATATATGTTTTTTTGGTTTAAATAATAATATTTATTTTTAATATCAAAGAAAATGACAGTCTTAAAGCAACTAGATGTTCTATTCTGATATGTTAAAAATAATAAATATCTTACTTATAAAAACCAAAAACACATATTGTTTGTTTTTATTAGAAAAAATTATTATTTTTAATATTTAAATTTTAAGAAAGGGCAGTCTTAAAGCAACTGGATGTCCATTTTCTGATATTTTTAAATAAATATATTACTTTTATCAATTATATATATTAATCTAATTTTTTATTATTTTTAGATAAATATTTTATGAATATTTATTTATTTTTTATATCGAAGAAAAGAGCTGTCTTAAGGCACCTAGAAGTCATTTTCTGATATTTCTAAATAAATAAATATTTTTATAAATATATATAAATTAATATATTTTCTTAAAAATTATAGTAAAAAAAGTAAAAAAAAAATTGAAACAACATAATTATAAATTAAATATATTTGAATTCTTAAAATTCTATTATTAGAGACAATGTATAATTAAAAAGTACCAATTTTGGGCGTTGTAGGGGTGCTAATCCTTCCCTAAACGTAACCGACCACGAATCCCTTTTTATTATTAAAAAGAACAAATTTTTTGTTATAAATGTAGATCAGTTCATCTTTTAACTGATGTTTTCTTAAAAACTCTTTTAAAAGATAATTTTTAGGTATTCGACCTACCTGAACCAAAAGGCCGATGGCGACTCCCAAAACATTTTAAAAACCATTTATTCACATCACTTTTCCCGCCGAGTAAAATTTTCGTGCCCGGACGAAAACCGGTTACGACAGAAGGCATGTTGTGTCTCTTGGAATTCTTTTTCTTTTGCTTTCCATTGTTTTATTTATGCCTGAGTTGTTAGCTTCCTTTCTCTGAATTTCAAGCAATTTGCTCGCTCTGCAGTTCTCACACTGATGATCTTGAAGTTGCTGAAACGTTTTTGCACAGAGTGGACAGGTATGCTTACATCTGGCCTAACGTCATTCATAGAGTAATTACTTATATCTTCTGCTTACCATGTTTGTGGGCATAGATGCAATAAATTGTTGTTGGTGCTATCGCAATTCTTTATCTGTTTTTTGATACAGCGCTGCAGTATTTCATAACGCAAGCACACGGTTTTGTGTTGGATACAAAGTTGAAGCGAGAGAAGCAGAGAGAGAAGCGAGAGAAACAGAGAGAGCAGCGAGAGAAGCAGCATTTCAGAAAAAAAAATATGAACTTTAAAATCAAATTGAAGCTATGAAGAAGATGATGCAATCAAACGAAGAATTCATCATCTTAAGTGTTTTCTTAAGTTAATGCTTTGTTTATGCTATTGAAAAATATTGAACTATATTATATTTAATTTGGATGTTTGTAAACTTTGATTTATTTATATTTTATATATTATTACTTAATTAGAATCTAATTAAATTTAAGATGGTTATTGGATATTATTACATGTTAAATTTGGGTAATACAAAATAGGAAGAAGATATGTTGAAAATCAGTTTTGATTAGCGACATTTTAGGATTAGCGACATTTTAGGGGCAAAATGCCACTATCGGGTTTCATATTTGGCGGCGATTTTAGGGGGAAAACATTGCTAAATGAAAAATCTATTGCGGCGTTTCGGGCACAATCATATAAAAGATAAACATGATAACTAAAAATTAGGATGAACCATTTTGATTTTATTTCTAATTCTATTCTCTAATTATAATTTACTAACGGTTAACTGATGGTTAACTATTTATTAAAATTCATTAATCGTAATCATAATTGTTAAACGATATTTTTAACGGTTCGGTTAACTAAAATTTTTTAATCTTAATAGTTTAATTAATTAACTTATAAATATAACGGTTACATCGATTAATTAATTTAAATACCCTTAACGGGAACACAGATAAGCTTGGACAAATTTTATTAGGATAGAGGTAGAAGAGATTGATACATACACCCCTCGTCTTTGGTCATTGTCCTTCAGGCCCTGGTCGAATATGTGATTTTTCTAGGGATATGCTAATAATTTTGGGGTTAACAATGAGAATGTGTCGATGGGAGGATGGTATCAATCGTGGGTAGGGATGGCAACGGGGCGGTTTCGGGCCAAGGATTGGTCTCCCATGCCCGTCTCCGTTTAAAAATCGTATCCGTCCCCGTTTAAAATATCACGGGAATTTTAACGGGGATCCCCATCAGGTAATCGGAGAAAACACGGGGAAACGGGTATCCCTTTTTAGCATAAACGGTTATTTAAACGGTATCGGGCCGGGTATATATATTTAAATTAAATATATAAATATTATATATATATTTTTAATTTAAATTAAATTTATTAATATTATATATATAATAATTATTATTATTTTCAATATTTATTATCGGGGCGGGTATTAGGGTAATCGGGGCGGAAATTACCAAATTCGTCTCCGTCTCCGTCTATCATCCCCGAACCTGACCTATTTAATTCGATTTTCGATTTTCTTCGATAAATTCAATTTTTTTGCCATCCCTAATCGTGGGTTGATGGACTCAATCAATGATGATTTTAGTGAGATTAGTGTGGCGGGGGAATGATTGATCAAGTCCGGCGGATGTGCATGGATATATTCAAGGATATTAGAAAGAAATATTTAAAAATAATAATAAACTTAAAAGAATACATCCAAGCATCTTAGAAAAAAATAAGTATATTCAGATTATTCTTTCATATATATATGATTATAATCCATGTTTTATACCTTCTTAACATCATTTATCGAGTGGAAATAGAGCTATTATCTTTATATATAAAAGTTTAATATAAAAATAACATAAACTATACTTTTTTTTCTCAAATAGGTATTTAAACAATTTTTTTACTTATCTCGATGCCCTTACAAATGTTACTCATTTAGGTGTCTGGACCGTCAACGGTGTTAATTTCCTATTTAAGTGACATGTGTCACAACGTGGTAATTTTAAAAATTTTATTTAAAATTAAAATTATATATTTTTAAAAAAGAAAACACAAAATTTGAAATAAACCCAAAACTTTGAAAACTTTCATTTCAACACTTAAAATCACATCGGCCGCTGCCTTTTGCCATCGATGAAGCTCCACCTGACCTCCTCTCCTCCCGACAGCCAAAACTCCCATGAAATCATGATCGATCGATGACGAATCAACGTTTTATAACCTGTGAACCCTAGGATGAAAATTGAGATCCCAAGCGATTCTGATGGCCAATCGAGGAAATTACGATGACATATGAGTAGGAGATGATAGAGACTATGTCGGTGGCTGTGGCAAGAAAGGACAGCGGCGGCGGATTAAAGTTAAGATTTGGGGTTGTTCTGTAATATAAGAAAATTTAGTATTTTTTATAAATATCATAATATTTTTAATATTTTTAAAAAAAAAATTTAAAAATCATCAGATTGTAACACGTTTAACGAAAGAAAATAATATCATTGACGGTCCGAACACTTAAATGAATAACATTTGTAACATTATACATCTGGATGAATCAAAAAAAAATTTAAACACCTATTTAAAAAATAGTATAGTTTGATCGCTTATTTTTTATAGCGATATATATATATATATAATGTGAAATTTTTGTTGTCGTACTGGTTTTAAATTCCCTTGGCATACACTAATATCTCGGAAATTTCCTACAGTATCTTGATTCTGGTTAAACTGGTTGGTTTTGCTGGACATTGATTGAATCGTTCGACTGTTTCAGATGCAAACTCAGCAGCCCTTATCTATTCCCCGATTTCCTAGGCAAGGACATAGAATTAGGAATAGTAGTCCTGTCAGAGTGCAAAATTCACTATCAAGTCATAAATTGTCCTATGAACTTTCATCTATCGGCTCTGTATCTACAGTGATGCATTAAAATCGTGCACCGTATCGAGAAACTTAGAATTGGGTTCTTGCATTCATGCCGCTGTATTGAAATCTTGGTTGCAAACGGATGTCTTTGTTAACAACTCTCTTTTGGACATGTACATGAAATGTGGATGTGTAGAATACGCCAGAGAGCTGTTCGATCATATGCCTGACAGAACCGTCGCATCATGGACAGCAATGATATCAGGTTATTGCCACAATGGGTTAGCTGAGGAAGGGATAACCACTTTTATTCAGATGCTGGAGAATGAGTGCCCCCAATGAATTCACGCTAGCAGCTGCTTCACAAATTTTTGGGGAAAATTGCAATCCTAGATTCATTTGTATTTTACACGGTTACATAATCAAAGGTGGATTTCTAGAGGATAGCTTTTTGCATAACTCTTTGATTGGCGCATATGCAAATTCTGGGGCTTTATCAGAGGCTGTTAAGCTTCTTGAGAGATTTAGGTCCCGAGATGTTGTTTCTTGGACTTCTATTATTTCAGGTTCTGTGCTACATGGATCCATGCATGAAGCGCTTCTGGTTTTCTTCAGGATGCAAGAAGATGGGGTTGCACCCAACGAGGTGACAATTATGAGCATTTTACGTGCATGTTCCTTCATTGGACGACTAAGGATATTGCAATGGGTTCATGGCTTGGTTTCAAAATTGCGTTGCATCAAAATGAACTTGTATTGAATTCTATAGTAGAGACGTACTTAACTAATGGGTACTTCACTGAAGGAATACAACTTTTTTCTGGATTCTGTTTCGATGGCGAAGGACGGTATCTTACCCCGGAGACGATTGCCTCTCTCTTACAGTATTGTGGTCATTTCAATCATTTGAAATTGGGGAAACAGCTCCATGGCTACCTAATCAAGCATGGGTTTTCTTCTTCCATCATACAGAATTCTCTGATCAACATGTACGCAGAGAATGAGCAAAGTGAATCAGCCTTTCAAGTCTTTGAAAGGATGTACGTGAGACATAGTTTCATGGAATTCATTGATTAGATGTCTCATCAAGAATGATGAATTCCATGAGGCATTAAATCTACTTAAAGATATTCACTGCAATGGCGGAGAGATGCGTCCGGATTTCATCACCATGTTGACATTAATTCAAGCTTGTTCAAACTTGTCATTTATCATGCCGGGGCAAGTTATTCATGGGTATATAACAAAAGCTGGATTAATATGTGACATCTTCATTCAAAATGCCTTGATAGACATGTATGGAAGATCAGGCAAGTTGGATTTAGCAGAGGAAATCTTTGCGGGATTGCCTTCAAAAGATTTAGATTCATGGAATTCATTGATTGCTGCATACGGCATCAATGGAAATGGGAGGCTTGCTCTCCAGGCTTTCACCAAGCTAAATAATTCCAGTCCTCACAGGCCTAATGCTATCACCTTCACCAACATCCTTTCTGCATGTTCCCACACAAGACTAGTCGAAGAAGGATACGAAATCTTCAAGAGCATGCAGAAAGAGTACGGAATGGAACCAACCAAGTATGGAACATTTTGTTTGCATGGTTGATCTGTTGGGGAGGTCGGGAAAGCTTGAAGAAGCAGAAGCCTTTATAAAGGGAATGACATTAAAACCAAGCAATGATGCATGGTATGCTTTATTGGGTGCTTGTGGATTCCACGGGAATGTCTGCATAGCTGAGAGAGTTGCAGAGAAGCTATCTATCCAGGATCCTGAAGGCATTGTCTGGAGAATTGCACTATCAAACATTTATGGTTACAGAGGCCATTGGGAAGATGCTGAAAGGGTTAGGGCTCAGCTTAGACAACTTGAAGGTGTGAAAAAAGGCAGATGGAGTACCGTTGAGGTAGATGGAAAGATGTGCAAGTTTATGGTTAACGACACAAGACATCCAGAAAGCAAATCCATCTATGCTGCTGTAAGTATGATGGTGGAACATGCAAGCGAATGCGCCTTAAATCAGTTGTAAACTATTAAAGCGCAGAATTCGTGAAATATATAGAATTATATCAGCACTCTATTATGTATAAGTTCAACCTTAATGCTCTTGATTGAAATTTTCGGCATCTCAGTGCAACAAACACAACAAAATGTCTGTACTGATCTTTGGCAAGAAAAAAAATTGGTCCTAAATTCAAATAAAATGATTAAAACACAAGCATACGACAATCTTTCTATTAACTCCAACAAAGCCAAACTGGCAAATATCTGTCATGAAAAAGCATCCATATCAAGGAAGCCCTGCACCGCCTGCAGGTCCAGCACCACCATAACCACCGCCTCCACGGCCAAAGGCCGGCCTTGTTCCAGGACCCTGTGAGTTCAGAAGTTATAAATTATATCAGCTTTTCTATTTTTTA